TCTATCCGATATTGCCTCAATGTGATCATATAAATTGCAAAAAAAGTACAGTTTAATGAGGTTAAAGAGTCTAAAACTATATTGGAAATCTGTGTTTCAAAGTCTAATCTAAGCCTGCAAATAAACTAAGCTTTTGGAACTTATAAATGTAACAATGTTAAATATTCAAAATTCAGCCATTGATCAAATAAGCAAATTTGTGACACTGATCAAGTGAACTCCTTGGTACAAAAAGCATATGCTTTTTTAATCATCTGAAATCATGTTGGAGAACATGATCATAAACTTTAACACAAACTTGAGAAGTATATGTAGTTTGATGGCTGATGTCATTACAGCAAAAGGAAGAAAAACTAAATACTACAGATTTTGACATTTGTGTCCATTTTTTAATCCAACTTTTCACTCAATGCTTAGCATATAATTTATAGTAAAGATTTCGTTAAATGTAAAAACTGCTAAATCTTTGGTAGTGGTCTCATATTTTGGACTCCACTGAATTCATTAGAAATATTTAGGATACTTTGATATATTTAACACACACACACACACACACACAAAACTTAATTTGTTTCCTCTATTGACAGCATTAGCATCATCTCGTCAGTATCACTTTGTGAATGAGAGTAAGACCTGGACTGAAGCTCAGAGATACTGCAGACAGAATTACACTGATCTGGCCACCATTGATAACATGGAGGAAATGAACAGACTGATTAACACAGTTAATGGGACTTACAATGATTCAGCCTGGATTGGAGAGTATGATGATGTGAACAGCTGGAGATGGTCACTGGAAGACAATGATTTCTATCAGGAAGGAGAGAGAGATTTCAGGAACTGGTATCATGAACCGGACAACAGTGGGGGGAACCAGCTGTGTGTTTACATGGATTATAATGGTAACTGGTATGATATGTCATGTGACAACATACTGCCATTTGTTTGCTATGATGGTAAGGACTTTTCTTTTTTTTATTATAAATTAGATATTTTATTTCAGTGAGAGCTAATGTGCATATACATTTGGCATTTCATATCTCAGGTAGAGAGACCGCCACAGAGAGTTACATCATAATCTATAACTGGGAAACCTGGGCAGAGGCTCGTAGATACTGCAGAGATCATTACACAGATCTCGCCAATGTGAGAAATCAGACTGAGAACCAGAGGATCCTTGAGACAGCAGGTAGAGGAGTCTGGATAGGACTGTACAGAAACAGGATTTGGTCAAACAGTCAGAATACCAATTATCAAAACTGGAGGCCGCAAATTCCTGGGTTACCGGCGCAACCAGATAATGTTAACTACGTTGATGCATATGGATATCAGCACTGCACTGCAGTGTCATTCAGATATTCAGGCCGATGGACAGATGAGATCTGTGTATCCAGCATGCCTTTCTTCTGCTACAGCAGTAAGTTCACTTGCTTTATTGGATGCCATTATTTAGCAGGAGTGAGAAAGACTTTTATCACCTTTCTCCAACATGAAAGATTTAATTTGGACAGATATAATCCATTGTATTTGGTATGCAATCATGACAGGAAAATAATTAATTAACTACTAATTTGTACAATGACAATTTATTCACAATATCATGATTTATTGGTACATCAGTGACCAGCTCATGGCAACAAATTTTTTTTTCTGTGCTGTAAAACAATTCACAGGAACCTGCACACA